AGAACCGGCTGCTAATATGAGCAGTTARCAACAATTTACTATCTAAAAAAACAGTAAAAGAACAATTTTAAAATAGAACAATAAAAAAAAAGAGAAACACTGGGAACAATAAAAAAGAGAGAGAAAACAACAAGCAAAACAAAAAAACAAAAAAACACTGGATCTTTTAAGCTTGTGTATATTAAAAATAATCCAAGTAATGAACTACTGATTTTGCTAGTGCAAACCTTGTCTCCTACTAAATAGCCTTTACCACCATTGTTTTGTTGAAAAAGCTTGTCTATAAATTCCAGATTCTTAGGAATTTCTTCATCATACAGAGAGGACTTCATCTTGGCCTGTAATCAATGAATGAATGAATGAATCAATCAATCAATCAAACAATCAAGCAAGCAAGCAGTTATCCACATTAAATTTCTAAATACACTATAAATCTGAGTAAATGTAATGCTTACTTTACGATCTGCATCTTTTTCCCAGATAAACCTCCCGAATTGATTTTCCAAATCCTTAAGAGCATCTACAAACACCTCAGCCCGTGCTTTACCATAGCTATCGCTGGGAGTAAAACCTGTAAAACCAAATTATAAATTGTAAATTGAAGATAAGAAATGGTAATGTTCAATGAAAATGACAGAAAAAATATTAATAATCAATATAGTATAAATAATAAAAATAAAAATAGGAATAAAATGTAGAATGTGTAGCAAAATGGATGAATGCTTCAATGAAGTTATCATAAAAAAATGGAAATGAATGATACCCGTAAAGGGATGCTGAGTCTTCCATAAAATTATCATAGCCTACCCCTTTTGTCTGTCTTCCTGTCCCTGACAAAAGGGTAGACAGCAAACAAAGGACCATTACCAGTAATGAATATTAGTTTAATTCCATTAGTCAATGCTAGAGTTAAAATCAAMTCAATAATTAACATACCAAGTTCATTGGCCACATATCTAAGGATAACTGACGATTGACAAAGAGATTTTCCATCYCCAAGCTCYAACACAGGAAGCTGGCCAAAGGGGCATCGTCCACCTAACATTTTTTTGATAAGTTATAATTCATACATGAGTCAATTGAAACCCTGGCCATCAGCAGGGGTAGAGTAAGTAACAGCATTTTCTCCAAATGCTCTTTCAATGGAAAGTAATTTAGCTTAGAACTGTCATTTTGAAGTAGATGAAATTGCTGAACATCAGTTAACCTAGCTGTACACACATGTAAACTCTCATTGTTAACTGTCTGATGTTTTTTTAAATAAATAAATAAATCAATAAAAAAACAATAATAAAAAAGATAAAAAAATAGAATATAATGGCATTKTGCATTTTTACAAATGTGATCCAACTGTACTTGCATGTCACGCAATTTTAGATTTGTGCAGTCACGCATAGATGCCACGTATAATATATTCTAGTTATTGCAGTTCTTGCACGAAAGCATGATAAAAATACTTTAAAATACTTTAAAACCTTCACTATTTTGTTGGAAACTGAATCATTTGAGGCATTATCGATTCAAAAAGACAGAAGGAATAATCCGTGAGCTCATAAATTAGTCTGCTTTGTCGAAGGTGCGTGCATCTTTGTAAATTCCAAAATGCAGACCCCTGAGGCCCCTGAGTCATGTTTGTCGCAATGCTCTCTGATACAGTTCTAAATCTGRCTTGATATAACTTTGAGAATTAAATAATTTATTTTTTCTTTTAAATGCATTTTAGCATTAGCATTATT